GCAATACAAATAATATAAATATGATTTTGAATGGGAGGACTAGTTTGTATGTGATCCCACTCTTGCATCTTTACATTATTTTTACTGCATATTGAAGTTCAAAGTGATGCATATTATTGAGTTTGTAAGCTAGTATTTTAAGCATGGTTTGTATTTGATCTCTTTTATATATATATATAGGGAGCGGTTCCGGTAAGAACGGACTCGCAGGAGAGAATTAAGAACGAATCTGGACCGTTGGATTGTATTATGTGGAACGCAAATGTGCATTTGATGAAACTGAAATGTGTATTACATGATACTGAAATGTGCAGAATAAAAATTTAAACTCAATTGTGCATTAGGTGAAACTGAAATGTGTGGAATAAAATGTACAAAAATTACATCACATCGTATCTTTTATTCTGCACATTTCAGTTTCACCTAGTGCACATTTCAATTTCACCTAATGCACAATTCACCTTCACTTAATGACATTGTATCCTACGCTTTGTGTTGCACATTTCAATTTCACTTAATGCACATTACAGTTTCATCTCATGCACATTGAATTTCACTTAAAGCAAATCTAACGGTCCAGATTCGTTCTCATTTCTTTCCTAAGATCATGTTCTTATTTGAGCCAAAACATATATATATATATATATATATATATATATTATATATATATATATATTAAGGATCATATAAAAATTCCTCCAAATTTACAAAATACAAACTTATCCTATACCCTAACCCTTCATTTTAATTAGATTTCCGTGTGGTTGATACTAGGATAGATGTAGCGAACATATAAAAGGAACATGAGGGGGCTTTAGTCTTTTTTATTTCTTTTATTTTTGGAAAGCAAATCACGTTGAATATTCCATAATTGTTTCTTGTCCATTATTTCTTCTTCTTCCATCTTCAACGATGATGAAATTTGAACTCATTTCCATCTCCGCTTTGGTTATATCTTCAAATTCGTCTTCATCTCTGGCCATCTTCATATCCATCTCCATTTTTATTTCCATCTCCATCTTCGTCCCCATGAAATCTTGCACATCGGATTTTTTTCTTTCTTTATGAGATTAATCAGATTTAACGCTTTTCATTTGAATACAGGTGTGCACGCCGGAAAAAACATTGTTTTTCCTTCATGAGATTTATCAGTTTTAACCTTTTGATTGTCCGTCTTCATGACATTCACTAATTTTCATGCATATACAAAAAAATAAAAATGCTTAAATGCTTCTACCCTAAAGTGTCTTAAATATTTATGATGTTCTTATGTTTCTCATGTATTATACATTTTGTAACATCATGAATTTAGTATGCATGTTAGTTGAGTATACAATGCAGATGTCATACCGATAAATTTTCAATTTTGCTAATACAACATGCACCTTATATATCACAATAATGCATCGTTATATACTATGAAATGCATAGTCCAATATGTCTTCTCAAAGTGTGTTTTAATATAACACATTCTTCATTATGATTGCACTATATATCACAATTGAATGCATTATCCAATGCATTTATATGCATATTATTTCCATATGTTCATCAACATGACAATTGTGTTCATTTTACAATCTTGTTAATACAATATGCACCTTATATATCACAATAATGCATCGTCATATGCTATGAAATGTATAATCCATTATCTCTTCTCAAAGTGTGTTTTACTATCACCCAATCTTCATTATAGATTGCACTTTCTATCACAATCGATCGAATGCATTTTCCAATGCATTTATATGCATACTATTTCCATATGTTCATCAACATGACAATTGTGTTCATTTTTCAATTTTGTTAATATAATATCACAATAATGCATTCTTATATGTTATGAAATGCACAGTCCAATATCTCTTCTAAGTGATATTCAAGGTAATTCGGTCTCTTATCACCAACTACTGCACCAAACAAGTACCTACAATGCATATTAATACATATTACATACATTCACTGATATCATTTATCAAACTAAAGAAAATCCAATCAAAATTGCATACAAAATTGAATCTTTTGTTTTAAACTATTGCATTGAACTCCCCCTAATAGTGCATATCAGTTACCATCACTTTGCAACTTGTCTGGTCTCACTTGCTATTTTGATCAAAATCGCATATAAGGGTTTCCCCTCTTCCAAAATTCAATCAAAAATACATTGGAACTCCAATTTTTAATTTAAAATTATTCAATCCAGCTACTATATAATTTTCATATCATTAAGAAGTCAACTAAAACTTACACTCTTATCGTATTAAAAAAATCCCATCTAGATCCCTCCAGTACTGCATTATAGAAACTCTGCAACTTTCCGTTTTTAATTTTTCTAATATTGGGCAGTTAAACTTGTAATGGTAAGATAGCGTAACTCGTGAGATTTACTAACTTTCCGTTTTCCATATGGCCGCCCAATTTATTGAATGTAAAATTACCTTTGTAGGCTTTTCCACTAACGGTTGCATAGTAGTGGGTCGAAAGGTTGTCATTCCATGTTTTTCAACCCACATACTACTACGGTGGATGCCATATTGAGAACCCTTGATTTTACAAATCTGGACGGATGGATTTAATTTGCATTTTGCACCGAAAGAGTGTTTTGTTTGTGATCTCCTCTTGGAAGCCCATTCATCGAGTTCCATTGACAAGGTCGAGCGGACTAGCTCTCGCTTTCAACTCTGGATAGGGGTGGGAATAGGCCAGGCGGCCTGTCAGGGGCCTGAGGCCTGGCCTGGTTAGGGCCTGAGGCCTGGCATGGCCTTTTAGTAAACAAATCAGGCTTGAGCTTTTTTAAATATTCTTTTATATTAATAGGTCAGGCTTAGCCCGATTTTAAAGCTTATTTGGCCTGACAGGCCGGCCCGTTTACACTTATGGATTAGTATATATTTATACATACTACGTATTTGATACCTATTGGTTAACTAACCCTTTAAAATTGAATGCCCACTAGTCCACTACTTTTCTAATGTTAAAGCATATGTTAATTCTTCGTACATAGAACACATAGCCTGGAAGCTTCGAGTCTTCAACCATGACTGCTCTTATTCACTTTCCATCTTTTATATTGATATTTCTTTTATATTGAAATTTTAATTTAAAGTTTGGTTGAGTTTTGGATTGTTATGGTTGAGTTTTGCATTGAATTTCTTTTAGTGTGTGGGTTGCCTTTATGTCATTGGTTTCTCCTTTAATTCACTTTAATTCACTTCATACTCTGTATTATTATTATTGTTTTATTATCTCTGTTCAACAATAAAATCAAGATTTTATGCATATGGGAAATTGATACCAGTTTTTACATACTTCAAAGAGTTTATGATGGATGCAACTAGAATTTTTATGGCCTAGAATCCAGGATACCAGTTTGGTTGGCTATGTCTTTACTTGGTTAATAGGCTCGATAACAGGCTTCAGGCTAGGCCAGGCTTAGGCTGAAAATTAGGCCTAAAACAGATAAAAAGCCAGACTTGGGCCTACACTTTTTAAAACAGGCCCGACTTGTTTAGGCGAAAGTCTGGCCTGGCCTGGCCTGTTTCCACCCCTAACTCTGGACGAACTCTTTTGGATGAAGCTGAGCAAATTATACCTGTCTTGGCTCAACTGCAACTTCCATACTTGATCATTTGTGGGCATTACGGTCACACATTTTAGAATTTTCATAACACGATTAATAGCATCACTACACGATGATTTCAAGGGTGGCATCAAAACCATCATTGCTGATACCGAACTCATGTTATGCCGACGTCATCACCATGTTCATGACGCTTGTCATTTTCTTATTAGCTACGATGCTTTGGTTTGTTGTCCAAGTCTAGACTTTTTTTTATAAACACCATCTCCGAGTTTGTGAAAAAGGATCGCAATTATTATTTATAGTGTTATTTTGTCAAACTTATACACACTTTTTGAGTATAGCTTTTTAATTTATGGTAGATTTTATGGTACTCATAAGGTACCATACTTTTGTCCGCATGGATCAATGAGAATGTAGCAGTTAAATTATTTAAATCTAAATTAAAAATGATAAAGTGATGTGGTCCAATCAAATAAATGATAGGTACGGTATCCTGTTTTTTAGAAAGGTACATGAGTTGTCACCTTAATTTATTGTCTAACTTCTCTCTACCCAAATTCCATAATTCATCAACCATACTTTAAACCGTTAAAGTGCCGGTGTAAATGAAGTGATCGCCGTTGTATATATTGTTGTTATGGTATAACGAGGTGTTTCAAATTTCGTGTGATTGAAATAAGTTGAAATAAATGTTACCCCAAAAGTCTAATCGACATACTTGTACTAGTAATATTTTTAACGGCAATCCTAATTTATGGGAAAAAGTATTTAACAAAAGTTTTGGTTATATATATTCCATATTTTCTTGCGTGTTTATAACATTACCTTTCATCATACTTTAAAGAAAAAAAACATATTTTAATTTCTTTCCATTGATATTAGTCATGCATTAAAATTTTCTTGATAGTTGGTGAAGCAAATTTGATACTTCCTCCATTTCTGAAAACTTTCTTCCTTTTGTTGTACAAATCTTAATCATACAACTTTTACATAATTAATCCTGTCAAACACAGCCAAAGGTACGGACGGTGGGAGTACGAAATATATAAAATTGTTGGTTGTAAGAAATACTCCCTCTATGCCAAAATGATAGTCCTGTATTTCCTTTTGGGATGTCCCAAAATGATGATCACGTTTACCTTTTTGGAAAGAAAGATGTGGTCTATATAATTTAATTTTATCGTACTCAAATCTCAACCAAAACTTCTACCTTTTCAATCACTTTATTAAAACTTGTGCCCAAAAGAAATGAGATTATCAAATTGGGACGGAGGGAGCCGTTAGTAACTAAGTATAGTTTATAGGTATGGTTGTGAACAAAGAGAAAAGTGGGATTACATTAGTAGTAAACAGCGAGGAAACAGGGGGGTAAAGTGAAATAATTAGCTGGTGACGAAGCAACTATAAAAACAGACTCCCGCTTTTCTTCCCATCCTTGCCAACTCAAATATTCGTCCTTCAATTCTCTCTCACATAAACCAAAATCTCTGCGCATTGGATCTCCTACCCTACTTCTCTCTTCGAATCGGTAATGGAAAGTCCAGTTCGTTGCTCCGTTATCATCGTCGGCGCTGGAATTTCAGGTCGCAAATCAGACCTATATATCTGTAATGTTTTATATTCCGTGAATCAGAAGCTCGAAGTTAGTCAATTTTGCATGTTTGCAGGCATTACGGCGGCGAAAGTCCTGGCGCTGAATGGGGTGGAGGACGTGCTGATACTCGAAGCGGCGGACAGGATTGGAGGTAGATTAAGGAAGGAGGATTTCTGCGGAGTTACGGTGGAGCTCGGTGCCGGGTGGGTTGCCGGCGTCGGCGGCAAGCAATCCAATCCCGTCTGGGAGCTCGCCCGCCAGTCCGACCTCCGAACTTGCTTCTCCGACTACAGCTGCGCCCGTTACAACATCTACGACCGCAGGTGCGTGAGTTCACGCTCTCCCGCTCATTCATCCTCCCTCGTGAAAGAATGGGCGTGATTATAGGACTTCTAAGTTATGCTGTTTACGATTTCTACGCCACGATATTCCCGCTCACAGAATGGTGGTTGGCAGGGGTCGTGTTCTGCAAGTTCGCTTAACTACTACAGATTCTACAGCGGTATATTTGTTTTTAGTTTGTTGTTTTCCTATTCAAAATTTCCCTTAATTTGCAGTGGGAAGATATTTCCGAGTGGAATCGCTGCTGACTCGTATCAGAAAGCTGTCGATTCAGCGATCCACAAGCTGAGGAGGCAGCAGGCCAACCCCGACTCCACAGACTCTGAAGTCGCGAATATATCGGAATCGTAAGCATATACGTAAATTTCTGTTTTATCATTATCCATCTTGCCATTTTCGCGATGGTAAGACTATTTTGGTACAACCGGCTAGCTATGACATTTGTTGTTTACTTTGGTCTATTATTTGGATTTGACGCAATGATCAGTAAAATACTCTAAAAAGTAAATTATAATTGAGATACGAGTATAGTATAGTGAAATTAGGTAAACTACATATGGAGTATTTTTTTTCAAAATTATAAATGTGACTACTACACCTTCTCTCTCACTAACTTTATCACGTTTTACTTTATTTGTTTGTTTCGTTAAGTATGTCTCGGACTATGCTAGTATTTCATAATATTTGAGTGATTAAAATTTATTCTTATTTTATTCACATTTGTTCAAACGGAGTATTCACATATTTGGTAATGTCATTTGAGTGAAATCATGTAAACTACATATGGAGTATTTTATTCATATTTGGTAATACTATGTATCAAAAACACAAGTGCACTTTTTCTTTAAAATCACACTACACTCTCTTGTCTAAGGTAGAACAGAGTAGTTTTTAGTGATTAAAAAGTTTTTAATAGAACTGTTCGATAAAAATTGAATGTGAAGTTGGTTCTATTTGTTATATAAGTTGTTGAGACTAGATGAAAAGTTTCTTTTGTGAACCTTTTTTTAACTTTTAACTTTTAGTGAATGAAAAGTTCTTAATGAAAAAAGTTGTAACCATTAATAAAAAGCTAACTGTTTGATTTATCTTTCTTTGGTATAACAAGCTATTATTATTGATCAATGATAAAATCTACAAACTTTTCTCATATGCTTTCCAATGTAGCTTCTCAAAAAAAGATGTTTTATTTTAAGAAAAAAAATTTAATATTGTCATGTCAAACATATAACTACAAGCATGTAGAGACATTTTCAAGAGTAAAAAATTAATCCGTAGAAGATTAAGATTTATGATTATCAAACATGTACGGAATATTTATTAATATTAAAAGCTATTGACTTTTCTCAGATGCAACTCAATGTAACTTCTGAAAAAACTTTTTATTTAGAAAAAACTATTAAAATTATCGTGCCAAATATTTAACTAGAAACGTGTACAGACTTTGCGAACAATATAAAAATTAAAAGGTGAAGCTTATGCCTACCATGCAATAATACCATCCTTGTAACCTTTTTATATTTCTCTCAAAAACTTTGTTACTAATCCTTTTAATCAATTATCAAATACGAGTAATTTATTATTGTTTTTATTTCTCTTTTTTCCACAAATTTCAATCTCACACTGTTTTCATATTTTACTTTTTATTCTCTCAAACTTGTGAAAGTTATAAGGAAGGGAGACTAGTTTAATGATTTACTCCTCAATTAATTTATCGGGTTTTGTTTTCAGTATTCCAAGCACGCCGATTGAGTTGGCGATAGACTTCATCCTCCACGACTTCGAGATGGCAGGTCAACAGTATGTCTTTATTTAATCTCCACATCAATTTCAAGTGTAGGGTACGCACATCAGTTTTATTAATGTACGACCTATCTGTGTATTGACTATTGAGAGACCATGTTCACATGTGAATAAAAGAAATAGCATTAATTAAAATTTCTTTACACGTTTGAGTTTGAAATTACAGAAGTTGAACCTATACCAACGTACGTAAATTTTGGAGAAAGAGAATATCTGGTGGCAGATGAAAGGGGATATGAGCATTTACTCTATAAAATGGCAGCAACCTTCCTTTCTACATCAGATGGAAAAATTGTGGATACCCGCGTCAAACTTAACACGGTAAATATCAGAAATTAAAGCACTTCATATACGAAGTACTCCGTATTTCATAATTTTATTTTAATTATTATGGCTATGCTACTATACAAGTGATTTTATGGACACTTTCATGGAGTCAAATGGACTATGATTCTCTCACTAGATGATATTTTAAAATAGGAATAAATATGTTTTCCAAAGTATGACATATTTATTGCCATTAAAAGAATAAAACAATAAAAACTTCCTAATATTGAGGAAAATAGTTGGAGTAATGAATAGATAAAGGATAAAGTTGCAAACTAAAAAGCTATTGGAGTCTAATTAAATAAAGTGGTGATATTTTTGGAACAACCCAACAAGGAAAATGTATCTAATAAAGTGGGAAGGAAAATATTTTTGGCTACTACATCTACATTGCTCAAGTTCACATGTATAATTAAGATAAAGTAGAGGCAATTTCTACGGTACCTTAAAGGTACGGTACCTGGAAGGTGTGGACCAATCAAAAATTTCCAATCGAATAATTTAAATGTAAATAAAATATGAAATATTGAGTTGTATTAATGAAATGTATCATAGGTACCGTACCCTTGTATTTTTGCTGGGTACCATAGCAATCGTCGTAAGTAGATTACACAAGTTAGGTATTAATACTCCGTAAGTAGTGTGAAAATGTCCATAGTAAATCTTAATTAAAATACAAATTTATAATGTATACTCGTAATAAAAATTAATTTCGGGTGTGTTACAAAGTATTAAGTGATAATGAGTATGTTTGGCACAACTAACTGAAAATATAAGAAAATAAGATTCCAAAAATTTATTTATATAGAAAATTTATGGGAGTGTTTGTTTTCCAGCTTTTCCACCCAAAACGCTAGTTTTACCAACGTTTTCCCTTATTAAAAATTGGCATTTTTATCCTGACACCTCTAGAATCAAACATCCCATGTCTTTTTGGGTAATACTTCATCGTATACGATAATACTCTGTATAACTCAATTATTTGTTCGGCCGGCCGTATTACAATTCCTCTAGTTTTTTTACCATGTCAGACCGAATTGCTAACTACTCCGCAAGTCCTACGCACATTCTTTTAGAGCTTCTCCAGCAATCACCGTTTCATACACCAAAATGGTGTATTTGTCAAATTTTTGCTCCAACAACAACATCATTTCTTTCACCATTTCACCATTTTGGTGGAGAGGGTTTTGCTTTACACCAAATATGGCGTACACCATTTCATAAACCATCTTCTTTTTTCAATTTTTTTTTATTTCAAATGTTACCCAAAGTTTTGATTCTTATAATTTTGACCCATTTCTCAAATTGAGCTCCACAATGCTTTAATTGATCATTTGTGGGAACAATTCTCAAATTCCGATAATTAAACTAAGAATATTTATTTAATGTATTGCTTTAAGTTTAAGTAGTACTTTATTAATGACATACAAATTATTATAATATTATTGTAATATTTAATTTTATGTGGTTTTAACTTGTATTTGTGAAATATTGATTATTATATTTTAATGAGTGAAATGCGTGAAAATACATATTAAAATGGTGTATTTTAGTTTGTATGTGTGAAATGTCAAAATATTAAATGAGGGGCAAATGTATAAATATATGATAATTACATACTTAAATAGAAGAATGGTAAAAAGTTAGTAAAAAGAATAAAAAGGGAATATTCCTTTTTGGTAATGAAAATGGTGTAAACTGTTGGAGATAAAATACTGTATGATGTTATGTTTACACCATTTTAGTGTACAAAGTGGTGTAAAATGTTGGAGATTGCCAACATTTTTAAATGTTAGATTGCCTTCTCTGAAACAACAGTCGAGGATTATGTCATTCTTTTTCAATGGAATTTAAAACTCTTTTACTCCGTAATTCTTTTCCATACCAGACAATGGAAATGGATAATTTAGAAAAGTGGAATGTTTCTTCCATCCAACACAAATGCTCATTTTCCATAGGTTGAATTAATTACTCCAACCAAAGATTAAATCAGTTCCACCCAATAGATATGAGATAGGAAATTTGTGATCGAAAACTTCCCAAAAAAGCGGCTGGATTTACGTTATTGCAACTTAGCAATTGATTTTATTTGAAAATGTGCAAAAATAAAATTTAAAGGTTACTTCAATATTACGTAGAAGGGGAGGACTTTTCTCAACAACTTTCTATTCAATGTGGGTCCGTGTACCCCCTAAGAATGGTACATAGAGTTGATACAGATGGACTTTCACTGCTCCTCTGACTTCGATATGCAAATAAAGGGATACAACTCCGGTTTACTCAAGGCATAACAAACGTATGGTAATAATGAGTCTGGAGACCGGAATGTCTGGACCAACTTGTAGTTGACTGATGGTAAATGTTTAGAAGAAGAAAAATTCCTAATCTACATATTATTCATATATAGACTGATGTAACTAAAAAAGAACGGATGAAGTATTAGAAAATTGTTATACGCTTAGCATCGGATCATGTATCCATTTTCTTGCTCCTACAAGCAGTTTTTTAGATTAGATGATGAGAGAGAAACCTTTGAAAAACTGATTCTATTTTTACGCCTGCTTTTAAAAAAAAATCCTTCTCTTTTACTCTTTCTCTTGTTTAACTGCCTGTGGTTTAAAATTAGACTTGTATCATTGTGGGGATCATGGATAAAGTCAACCCATGCATGTTTGTGAAGTTGTGGCATTGATAATTAACAAAAGTGACGGGCAAATGGGGATTGCAGGTTGTTCGAGAAGTGCAGCAGCATACAAGGAATGATGTTTCAGTGACCACAGAGGATGGGATCGTGTACGAAGCCAGTTACATTGTTTTGTCCGTAAGCATTGGCGTCCTCCAAAGCGATCTTATTTCCTTCACACCGCCTTTGCCTGTACGTCTCTCCCTGCCTATACAAATAATTGGACTCTTTCCTTTCGATATAGAGTCAAAACAAAAGCTCACAATGGTCCGGAAGTATTCTACTCCATCCTTTTCATCGCAATATTGTCAATGATACACTTTCTCTAAACTTTATATTTAAATGATCATCTACGTTAACTTGAGTTAATACAGTCAGAAAAGTAACTATAGCCTTACTTTTTCTTATTATTACACAATTCAACGCGCGAAATAAAAAGTTACGTGTTTGATTTAAAAGTTGGTTGATGAGCCTGATAAGCCGAAAAACACAGGTACCAAACGGGCTCTTAGAGTATCAAATGTTCTTCTCGCCAATTTCTAGATTTCCCGCCCAGGTATTGATAGCGCAGAGTCTGTGGCAAGCTGATACAAGTGTTGATCATGTGCATCAGAACATTCAGTCTTGGGCGAGTAATAGGTTCGGTCAAGATACGTTACTCGATCGATACGGCCCTTGTCCCGATCGATCCGTAAGCCGGCTGGGCTCACTGCCCTTGACCACGTTTAGCGTTTTCTATAAGTGAAAAGGTCGTTTGGTAAATAGTTGATCGGCACTAGCGATTTTGAACGGAAACGGTGAAATGAAAATGGTGGTAATAGGAGAGTTTTGGGTTGGCGTTTTGAAAAATAGCGTTTTCTACTATTTTTATGGCCAAACGGCTAAATTAACAAATATTTTTTGACAATCCGTCAATTTATTCCGCTAGTCAAATCCGTTGACTGAATCCGCTATCAATAATCCGCTAACCTAATCCGTTGTCGGCTAACCGTTAACGGCTGAATGCTACACACGCTAATTATGTTAATCACCGGAATTGACAAAATTGAGTGAGCTGGGGGTATTAAATGGAAGCCAGGCGGCCAGGCGGCCAGCGGATTAGTATTTTATGGTAAATTTATTGAGAAGAGTTTACCCCTCTTATGATGTTTATGGGAAACAGTTGCTCTTTAGCCCCACCCTCCATTTGAACTGTATGTCTCGAAAACAACCCTCATGAACAGAGTAGTCTGGTTTACTGGACTGTGGTAATACGGAGTAGTATGTACGGAGTCCTATATATACTTGGTCAACCAAGAATAGTATAGGTATGGTTAGATTATTTTCTAGGGCTAGTAAATTATTGATGACAGCCTGGTTGGAGTTGGACAACCATCTACCACATTCTTATTGAATATTGATAAAATAAAATGATAAAGGTGTGACTTACTTTTTCTTTTGAAGTTTTTAAACTTGAAGTTTACTGGTAAAAAATTGATTTAGATTCTGCTAGCTTCTATTTTTAAAAACTGATTTAGATTCTGGTAGCTTCTACTTTTAAAAAAGAAGTATAAGCAGAATCAGACACCCCTATTTCAGCTTGGTGTTGTTCCAAAGAATAGTTATCTTGTTCTCGATAGCTCACATTAAGAACACCTAAGAATAACTTGTGCCCTATCAAATTGTATGTAACAGACGTGGAAAACGGAAGCATTCCAAAACTGTGACATCATGGTTTACACCAAGATATTTCTCAAATTTCCCTACAGGTTCTGGCCTTGTGGACCCGGAAAGGAGTTCTTCATCTACGCCCATGAGCGAAGAGGCTACTATACGTTTTGGCAGGTTGTACCTATTCATCACTTTTACTCCCTGAAATAATCACCATATTGAAATGTCTAACCCGTGTTTCTCAACGTGTAAATGTCACTTCTCAATTATTCAAATTAATGTAAATGTGATCCTTTGAAGGTGAAATATACAATGTGGACCAGTGGATGGGGAGTCATTCTTCAAAGGATCATATTTGCACCAATTTGAAAATTTGAGGGTGATATTTACAATCTCAAAAATGTGGATCTTACATTTCACTATCATGACTATTTTCCTTTTGAGGTGGAATTCTGACATTTCAACATGATGACTATTTTCCTTTTGAGATGAAATTCAGTGATTAAAAGTGCGATTTTATTTTTGATTAAATTGTTACTCCGTATTAAATAAATTGGATCAAATTAGCCTTCAATAGACAGTAGGCATTCACCCCACGTAAAAGTGCACTTTTATGTTTTTAAAAATAATTCCAAATATTTAACAATAATAAAAATGTGATCCGGTAACTTTTAATATCTATACTTGTTTTTAAATTTTACATTATAGTGACTATAACACTTACTTATAGTAATTTAGTCGCATTGTTGTCTACTTTTCTATTAATAGTATTTTATGAAAAAGCTCTTATGTTAAACGTGAATTTCAAGTAAATATTCAATTTGAAAACGTGTAAATTGCGTGGAATCTTCCTGATGTTATCAGCAATCCTGCACAGTCTAAAAACATAAATATGAACTCGTTGATATCAAAATAGTGTATACTCTAATACTCTATCAATTTCATTTTTTCCTTCACTCGGACACTCAAAAAAATCACAATAATTTTTACATATAAATTTAATAAAATATTAATTAAATTATTATAAACAACGTAAATTTATTTCCTGAATAATTATGAAATTTAATATGGAATAATATTTATACAATAATAATGTGATGCTACATATAATAAGAAAAACATGGTCAATTGAAGAATCCAGTAAGTATTTAATTGGAGTTATTGCATACGTATATGGAGTATAAGGTAGGGTGGTCATGGACATTATTTGGAAAAAATAACACGGACTGTTGTTTCTCAATTGAACCGACCACTATTCTAAAAAAACAAAGAACCGACCACTGGCATGACGTGATCATTGTATTCTTAAATACTCCATAGTTGGTTAGTACTGTTGTACCATGGACTACACTTTAGAGTACGGAGTAATTAATTGAACGACCAAACTTTAAAGCGCTCACACTATCTCTACTCCCTCCGATCCTTAATATAGTTCACATTTTGATTTCACACGTATTAAGAAAATAAATTTGAGTTTACTGTAAAGTACACTGTTTGGCACTGTTTGATGTAGATTTGTTTGTCAAATAAGGCAAATAAGGAAGTGTAAAGTTTAATATGGGACGGTCCAAAAATGAAAGTGTAAAGTTAATTAAGAACCGGAGGGAGTATTACTTCCGTCACATAATTTACTTCCGTAGTACAAATGGCACACGGATTAAGAAAGTAGATTGTGTGGTGGAGAGTTGTGTAGAGGAGAGAGAAATGTGTAAGAATTGTTTTGAACCACAAATTCTTTGTCAAAAAAGGAAAGGAAGGTTCTTTTTGGGACGGATGAAAAGGGAAAGTTAGAAATACTCCGTACGTAGTATAAACTCTCCGCATTTACTATCGTGTACTCTTGTACTCCCTCCGGTTCTTATTAAAGTTCCCACTTTCCTTTTTGGGATGTCCCTTATTTAAATTCACACTTCCATTTTAGGAAACAAAACAGTGCAAAACAGTGCCAAACAGTGCCAAACAGTGCACTCCACAGTAAAGTTAAATTCATTTTCTTAATATGTGTGAAGTAAAACTGGGAACTTAAATAAGAACCGGAGGAAGTATATCTTATTTTCAACTTTTCGATCTATTCAAAAAATAGTGGGCCCAAAATAGCCCCAGGTGGCCTAAAAAGTTAATACCCTCCTCTTTCATGAAATTTATCGAATTTAGCTTCTGTCTGAAATAAGAGAAAATTCCTTAAATAGGAGTAAAAAAAAATTGAAATTCCAAAATAGGAGTATCATGTTTTTTATTCTTTGAATAGGAATAAATTTCTGCCAAGTTTGGTATTACTAGGCTTTAAAACATGGCATTTTTTCCAAACTTGGCAGATTACTCATATTCAGGGAATAAAAAACATGATACTCCTATTTTGGAATTTCAAAACAATTTGCTCCTATTTAGAGCAATTTCTATTAAAATAATAAAATAGTGGTTGAGTTTTGTGCAGGGGCATATCTAGCGTGGGACAAGGTAGGTGTCTCACTCAACCCTCACCTTACCCCACTATATATATCAAATTTTATTTTTACACATACTTCCTCCGTCCCGCAATGAACTTCCCACTTTCCTTTTTTGGATGTCCCAGAAACAAGTTCTCATTTCCTTAAATGGCAAATTAACATACATCAAAACAGTGTCAAACAATGCCAAACAGTGCCAAACAGTGTCGAAACAGTGCAAAACAGTGCCAAATAGTGTCGAAATAGTGTCAAAACAGTAAAATTTACCCCATGATAAGTTTATTTTCTTAATATGTGTGTAGGTCAAACTGTGAAGTTCGTTGTGGGACGAAGGGAGTATATGATATATCATTGTCTTATACGGAGTATATAGTTCGTAGTATAATAATATTCAAAGTCTAAAATAGTTAAAGCTAGCGCAATAGCTAACTGGTTGGGGTGCACCCTTCTTGGATGTCAAAGGTTCGAATATCTCCAGCTCCCACTCCTTTTTGATTTGTTTTTTGCCCTATACATTAATTTTTTAATGTACCTAATAAATGGAGTACTACGTATGTAATTTTAATAACATCTTTTCACACTTAATATTAAAACTTGTTTCATTTTAACTTAAATCACTTATAATTACATATTTTATCCATATGTAAATAGTGGTTATACCGTGGAATCGTTGCATGGTGAGCAGCATGCATCCTTTGTTACTTTTTATTTCTTTTTTTCTTAAAATTGTCAATAATTATTTTATTTGTGATCCGATTTTTATAAAATTTATATCAAATTTTTTATTTTTCATGATCTTTCAAATGAGACCAATATTGCCTATGTAATTTTAATTTTTTACATTCATACATTTTTTGTAATATATTTTTATATGCATACACTTTTTCTATAATATATTTTTTATCACTTTTATATGTTTTTAGAGGTTTTTAAGATATTGAGTTTGTTTATTTTGCTTCTAGCTTGGAGTTGCATTAGATAATATACGAAGTTACATCATTTTATACTCCAGTTACAAGTTATTATGTGTGAGTTACATCTTGTTATGTGTGAGTTACATCTTGTTATACACGAATTACATACTTTTATGCGCGAGTTACATGTAATTATGTGTGAGTTACATCTTGTTATGTGTGAGTTACATTTTGTTATACACGAGTTACATACTTTTATGCGCGAGTTACATGTAATTATGTGTGAGTTATATCTAATTATTTGTGAGTTTTTACTTATCTTTATCTTGAACTAATTCAATTATAACTAAATTAATTTTTTTCTTTGCCAATTTAATACAAAATTTTATTAATCCACATAAAATAAGTATATTGTATTTCATATTCATACACTACTTTTCAAATGATAAAAATGAAAGATGTAGCAGGGGTTTATTTCGTGGTGTAACTCACATACATTAAGATGTAACTCGCGTATATTAAGATGTAACTCGCGTATAATAAGATGTAACTCGCGCAGAAGAAGATGTAACTTCATTATATATTATCAAATGTAACTTCAAAATAATTTGTTAAAATTACATAAGCAATATTGGTCTCATTTGATAGATCATGAAAAATAAAAAAAAATGATATAAAATTTATAAAAATCAGATATCAAATAAAAAAGTTATTACAATTTTTAACAATAAAAGAAATAAAAAATAACGGAATCACTGAATGCTGCATCGTTTTGCAACCGGACGCACCATCCTCATGGTGCGCCGTTTGCAGGGTATAAATTGTGAAATGTAAAAGTTTAATGTTACAAGTTTATTTTATCCATATGTAAAAATTTAGACATTCTAAAATTTAGGAAAGAATTATTTACTAAAAAATCCACGGTATATTAAAAATAAAATAATTTTATATAAGACATAGATGAAATATTTAATTATAAGTTTATAACTAATTTAAGGTACAAATAAACAAGTGTGTTTTAATACTAAGTGCAAAAAGATGTGATTGAAATTACATTAAAATAAATTATTTTAAACTAATTTGAATCTTAGGTGTAGACAATCTATAGTTTATTAATAAATAATTCTTTCCTAAATTGTTTTTGATAACATTAGTGTAAATTTGCCCCACTGACCGAATTTTCTAGATACGCCACTGCCACTGGTTTTGTGGAGTAGTATTTATTACTTGAAAGTTTAAATAGAAAAGGAAAAGTTTTGAGTTAATTATCAAAATAGAACTAAAAGTCATTCACTATTAACAAATAGGACCAAAAAATGAACTATGTTTGCATAGGACTAATTATGTGTACCTTGGACAATTATACCCTTATAGCTATTAAAATGTTTTAATTCCTAATAAAATAATAAAAAATAATAAAATTCGTAAAAAATACTAAAAAATTAAGAAAAACATTTCGATATTAAAAATTTAATTATATTTTTTTTTCAAAAAAATAAAAAAATTAAAAAAAAAATAAAAAAAAATGAAAACTCAAAAAAAAAAAATCGCCGCCGCCTCTGCCGCCTCAACACCACCACCTCCAGTCATCAGGGGGAAAAAATGCCAAGTTCATTACGAATGCCATATTTATGGCAGAAAACAATGAAAATGTTGGCATTCGAAAAGAGAAATATGCCACTTTTTTGGCATTTTCAGAAAAAAATGGCATTTTTCTGGGAAAATGGCATTTTTTTCATCGGCCGGAGGTGGTGGTGGTGGGAGGTAGTACAGGCTGTGCGAAAGACATCCATATTTTTTTAAATTTTTTTACGGAGTTTTACTATTTTTTATTAATTTTTTTAAAAATAAAATTATTTTAAAAAAACGTTTTTGAATTTTTTATTTTATAAAAATTTTATAAATTTTTTAATTATATTTCTACGAATTTTTGAATTTTTTTCGAATTTATTATGAATTAAACATTTAATTATGGCTTTTGACTATTTTTAATTCATATTTAATGGAAGGGTAAGAATGGAATGCAAAAATAGGTATGTTTCCAATAGGACTCATATGGTCCTATTTTGGAATAAAAACATAGCAAGTTCTATTTTAGGTTTTTGCCATAGTTTTAGTCCTATTTGAACTAATTTCTAAAAAAAATTTAGGATGACTTAGTATGGAAATTTGATCAATTTTTACGGGACGGAATGAGTATTGTACTCTGGGGCGGAGGTAACATGTCTTTGCAAAGTCAACGAGGATGGAAGTAATATGTTGATTGCAGCTTTTCGTCTTTCTTTTCGCCTGAGCTTCTATTGAGGCCCATATGTCTGCTTTGTTGGGTGATAAACACAAATGTTAAAGGTACCCCAAAATGTACCTCATTTTTACCCTCACCTCCTAATGTATGGTCATAAATGGGGCAGTTCATTTAAGTGGGACACCACTCAAATGAATTGGCCCATTTATGACCACACATTAGAGGTTGGGGTAAAATGGGATACATTTTGAGGTACCTCTAAATAACAAAAGTCTTGGATGAATGTGGCTTAAAAACTTAGCACCATTTAGTACCACTAACCCCATATAAATTAAAGAGCCCCATAAAATTAAATAAGTGGAACATGTGAAATTTTACACTATTCACATGTTCTACTTTGACTACATTTTATTTATTGATGTATTAATATATTTTTTTGAAAAATATATTATTAAATTTGTCACATTGTAAATTTTCAAAAACTAATTTTTTTAAATTTTTTACTAATAGAGAATTATATATATTAATGATCAAAGTTGTGTCTCGACAAGTGTGAAATGTTGACTGTTGCACTTATTTAAGAACGGAGGAAGTAGGATAGTATATATATGTGTAAAGGTGGTAACATCATAACCACTCATTTATTAGTGGAGACATCATTAAAAAATTGACCGATTGCAATGATGTCAACTTAGCGCATCTGACTCCATATGAGAGTGGGTTCCAACTTCCATCAAAAATATTTTTTATGTTTGGTTTGTGCAGACAAAAAAAGTCTACACAGACATGTGTAAAAATGTGTAAAAAAAAAAATGTGTACACCAAGTCCAAGTGTAATTCCATATTCCCTCCTACTAACTCATTCACTCTTCCTTTTCATCATTTCATATCATTTTGGAATGGTCTCAAGGCCCCTCGAAAATTTTTAATCAATATAAAAAAATATTTTGAAACTTGGATGTTGTTGTTGTATAAAAAAGTATTTTAATATGATGAGGAAAAAATAGGAATATAGAGACTTCTATCCAAAAACACGAACCCTTGTACGTTAGTCATTCACTCATTTAGACTCTATCTTTGAACAGCACATGGACAATGCATACCCAGGATCCAATATTCTGGTGGTGACTCTGACAAATGAAGAATCAAAACGCGTGGAAGCCCAAACTGATGGAGAAACTTTGAAGGAAGCAATGGATGTACTGAGGAACATGTTTGGGGCACACATTCCTACTGCAATCGACATAGTCGTCCCACGTTGGTGGAATAACAGGTTCCAGCGTGGCAGCTACAGTAATTACCCCATCTACGGCAATCACCAACTTGTACGCAATTTGAAGGTACTTAGTTCATGATTAGGAGCTACATCACTTTATTATCGTCATTGTCGTCATCCTCATTTGTTTTAATCAATCCCAAAAGCAATTATCAAAAAGGGTGTTATGGTTCTCCAGGCACCTGTTGGAAGAGTGTTTTTCACGGGAGAGCACACCAATGAAAAATTTAATGGATATGTCCATGGAGGTTATTTCTCAGGTTAGTTTGTTGAAGAATTTCACGCACTAATAAAACATGAACTAACAAACTATTAAGTTAGATTTGAGTTACTCTTATCGATTGACCATGGAACCCCAGTCTTGATATTATAATCAAATTCAATTGTGGTTTGATTGTATAACAAACATGATTAAGGGTAGCTCATTATAAAAATGAATAATACATTTATATACCCGGTTTGTATAGTTCGATTTGGATCGAGACGCGTGTTGGAGTACTTTTCAGACAAATAAAATAGGCACTCATCAAGTATACCAATGCTAATCATATTGACCTGTTTATGATGAATTCCAATCTTAAAACAGTTTTATACAATCATATCAAAGAGGGTAAGGTATGACTTGGAATGCTTTGACACACACACATATATACTCAGCTTTAATTTGTTGGTGATTGAGCAGGTATAGACACATGCAAAGCTCTTCTTGAAGAGATGAGAAAGGAGGGAAAAGGGGGAGAGTCACAAGACTTGTTATTACTTGACCCATTGATTGCATTAAGGGTGACAGAAGCAGATGATGTTTCGGGTCTCCACAAGTGTGATATTCCTAGACGGGAGCTATTCCTTGGTTCCACCAAACATGGACTTCCAGAGGCCATCTTATGACTAATAAGAAAGGATGACCCAACTTTCGTTGATACTCCTCCTTTGACTACTTTCTCATTCATGAGAAATCCAAGCGGGACATCGGTGAATAATGAAAGGCAGGCCAGGCTACACCAGGTGTGAATATTACATTCATATAAAACACATTCACTTCTTTGGGTAACGTTGGATATCAACAACACCTCGAATGTACGTTGTGTGTCGTGTAAGAATGCTTCCACGCCACGCTTTTGTTTTTCTGAGGAGCCCAGTCATTCACCAAGGAATAAATGTGCTTGTTGAATATTTTTCTTTTTTGTCACTCATTTATTTCTCTTTTTCCAATTCTGTATTTTCCCCAACGAAAAATTTGTACTGCTATATCTTTTCTTTCAGGTAATGAATTACAAAGGCAATGTACGTACTACTATTGTGAATTGCTGTGAGATCTAATCTGGGTACTTATGCATCCACAAGATCCATTTACATAAGAAAATAGGGAAATTTCCCAAAATATGAGTAATGGAGTTTGAAATTCCAAAATAGGATTGCTATGTTTTTATTCCCGAAATAGGACTAACATGTCAGTATTTACTGTCATCTTGTAGCCGTGACTGCCAAATAGTTGTAGTACAGTGCATTTAACATGACAGTACTTATTATACTTAATGGCAGTATTAATCAATCATGGCAGTAACAACTCCTATTTCGGGAAGAAAAACATAGTAGTCTTATTTTGGAATTCCAAACCTCATTTACTCCTATTTAGGGCAATTTCCCAAGAAAATAATGAAAGTGTGTTTTCTTATCATATACTCCCTGCGGTCCCTATTAAAGTTCCCAGTTTGACTTCACACAGATTAAGAAAATAAATTTGACTTTACTGTGGAGTGCACTGTTTGACACTGTTTGGACATTGTTTGACATTGTTTTGCACTGTTTTGTTTCCTGCAATGGAAGTGTGAACTTAAATAAGGGACATCCCAAAAAGGAAAGTGAGAACTTTAATACGGACCGGAGGGAGTATTTTCTTATGCTATATCTAATAATCTCTCTTTATTTATGCATATAAATAATGGATTACAAAGGCAATATAGACGGTTCCTTATCGAATCATCTAGAGAGTAATAATAATTATCTTTCAATAGATTCTTAAAGTGACTTAGAGCATCTCCAATGCTACAATGTGCACGGTGCACATGTGACATGTGAGAGATAGACATAAAAAATTAAATTTATGACATTACTCTCTCCTTCTTTACACGGTTTTGTGTGTTTTTGGTAAGTTTTTCTCAACAATGTCAACCACAATGTCTACATCTAGACATTGTGTTTGACATTGTAGAGAAAAACTTACCAAAAACATATAAGACCGTTCAAATAAGGAGAAATATATTATATTCGTTATTTTATATTTGGCTATTTTTCATGCCATGTATGCATCATTCACATTTTTGCATTAGAGATGATCTTAGCAAGTGAGATTTTAAAAATATATCCTAGTTCTTCTTAACACCGTTTGAAGCGTGTGGAATCCCTAGATATGATTAAGCGGCTGAGCAAATTTTCATAAGCAAAAAAGGTGAAATTGAGGAAGAAAGAAACCCTACTTAGGAGAAGAAAGTTAGTGTGGATCAAGAAAGGTAAGAAATGAAGAGATTGTGGAAATTATGTATTAGCTTGAAACATAAAGGTTTACATGAGAACCGAGAATAAGAGGGAAGAAGGGGAAATTGAGATTAAGGATTGGAAATACTTTTTTTTTCGACACAAGGGATTGAAAATACTTAGTGTAGATTATTATTGTAAAATTCATAAAATATTATTCATGTAATTTGGCCAATTAGTAATGGCTTTCTAACTATTATTACTAATAATTACTTTCTTCGTCCCGTTAAGATTGTTCCATTTTACTTTTTCAGAAAATCCCACTAAGATTATCTCATACCAAAATTGATAAAATTTATATGGCTCTAAATGATTTTTACTTTATTCTTACTTTATCAATTTAATATCAACCACACAAACTCACTTTTCTTAATAATCGTGTCACCTTCTTTTGTCCCAATGGTAGTGGGACGAAAGTAGTATAATATATTAATTACTATATTTATATATTACAGAGTATTCGGATAATTTATATATTTAAATAAGAGAAGATTATCATTCATATCACTAAAAGATCATCTATTTGTCAATGTATGACCTAGTAGTTTTTCATCCTAATGTGTTGCTTGGCTTTCAGCCATCTTACTCACGATTACACACACATATTTATCTCTAAACCTAAAAAGTAGCAGTTATCACATAATTCTCACTCATGTATTGTGTTTAAAACTTACAAGTAGGGGTGGAGTCGGTTCGGGCCACCCGGCCCGTGACCCGGCCCGGCCCGGTACTGTGCGGGCCCGGGACCGGCCCGGTTGGGCAGTCCGGGACCGGGTATGGGCCCGAACCGGTGGGAAGGGGCGGGGCGGGCTCGGTGCTGGAATAATGTGACCCGGCCCGGCCGGGACGGGCCCGGGCCCGGGTCCGGTCCTATTTTAAAAAAAAAATTTAAATATTGGGCTACTAGCCGTTGGGGGTGGGGCTGGGGACAACCCAAACGGCTATATAGCCGTTGGGTGGGGTAAAGGGGGGGGTCCGGGGGGGTTGGCTGGTGGGGGGTGGGGGTAAAAAAACCTATAAATACTCCTAATCTTAAACATTTTTTCATATCTCTTCTCCAATTCTTCCTAAATCCTATTCTTAACTCTCTACTCTCTAATTCTCTTATTCTCCAATATATTATATATCTACTCTCTAATTCTCTTCTCCAAGAAGTTAAGATGGAAAATCAAAATGTCATTATATGGTATAATTTTGATAAGCAGAAGGACCCGAAGACCGGGATGTGGTACGCAATTTGCAAATGGTGCGAAAAAAAATGTATCATGGGGGCTTCAGGCGGATTCGGGATGGCAATCAAGCATATGAAGTCATGTGACAAAGCCAAAGGATCGGGAGGTGCGGGAAGTTCCGATTGATTACAATTTTCAAAATGTTTATCTCTTAAAATTTGTTTTAATTTTCAAATGTAGTTCCTATTTCATTTCAAATAAATGCAATTGAAGTTTGTTTTTAATACTCGTATAAAACTATAAACTATAAAATATAAATTATATATAAAAAAAATTAACCGGCCCAGTCCGAACCGGACCCGACCCGTGACCCGGGCGGGTGGCCCGGCCCGAACCGGACCCGTCCAACCCTCAGGTCGGGCCCGGGCCCACTTTTCTTGAACCGGCGGCCCGACCGGGCCCGACCCAACCCGAATCCATCCCTACTTACAAGTCATTCCCGTCAAACATTATTTTTGGTCATATTAATTATTAGGGGAATTTCTCCCTCTTTTAGTAGTATTGTACTATTTTCCCCTTTAAAATAAGAAAACTTAATTCGTATCATTTTCATCATTTTCATTTTCATTTACCCCAGTGCCGCAAAGGCTCCCACCTACGGTGGAGTAAGGAAGAGTCGGATGTACGCAGTCTTACCTATGTACTAAAGTACAAAAAGACTGTTTCCGGATGACCCATAGTGAAAATCGCGTCCAATATTGCATGGACTGACTCACTGACTGCTCCATAACAAAGAAGCGCAGACATAAGTTGCAAAGTGCACCCCAACATTTTAATTATCGTTATTTCATCTTTGTATATAGTAAAAGAAATCTTTGTATACAATAATAGAATGGTACTTTTCAATGCTAAATATTCGATAAATGGCGTGCGAATAACACACTATCACTTACCTATATAACAGCACTTGGTTTATGTAGTTGATTTTTTGTCTGTGCTTCTGTGGGAAGCAAATTGCTAACACAGTTTGTGTTGATGGTTTAGTGCTGATCTGGGGTATACCCTGTGTATGTGTATTTGATAACAAACATATATCTAACCGTTCACCCAAAAAAAGACCAGCCACTTGACCATCTCCAGTTTGTGCCCAATAAATACTAAATAGTTTAAAACATGCACAATGGTGCACAGGCAAAACCAGCAGCTTGCTCTTATGCCATGCCTAATGACAATAAAGTGTGATCTCAGTGCAAGTCATGCCTTTGAAGAAAAATAAGTCTCCTTGCTATCATGGCCTTTTAACTTAATTAATGCAGGCTCGTTCTTCCAAAACCGATGCACATTTCCAAAGGTTCCTCAAACATTTCCGGGGGAGGGGGTACTCAAACAATCAAACAAAAGGAGAATCAAGCTAAATAGTCAAAATTGGGAATTGCTAAGGAATGCGACCATACATCTGCTACTCTGGAATAACTTGTCAACTCTTCGCCAAACGCTTGACTGGATTTCTAGAAGTTTCTGCGCCTTTTCCCTCAACTGTGGCTTGCAACGTATTACTTCACCGTGGATCTGGCAATTATATATGTTGTAAAAAGTTATGACCTGGTATTTATTCCCATTAATAAAGATTCATAAAATGGTACAAGTATCACTATAGGTGTGTGATGATGTTTGGATCTTGGAAAACATCATAAAGGGAGGGGGAGCCAAGGAAAGTTCATTTCTTATGTTTGATTCTTACCTTGTAAAATGCAAAGGAAACATGAAATATCATTAACAATTTCTTAACTTATAGATTTCTTAGTCCTTCGATAATAGAATTAAATAAAAGAGTGTGAGCAAGTATCAAAATAAACTTAGTAAATTTGAACTAAATGTTCTTCCAAATTTCATCACAGCTTTTCTCCCCAATTATTTCCTTGGCATTTTCTAAGTTCCAAACGGTTCATACCTGGTTAATTGTGTTGTTGGTTACTTGTCTCTTTTTTGAGACAACAGTTTTAGAATTGGAAAAATGGACAAGAATAATCCCAACTATTAGTGATCTGCTTGAAATAATCTCAACTCTTGAGAAATCTTATCAAAATACTCCGGTGACTTATAACTATCCGTAATATTTATGGGTAAGTGGAGTATTTTGAGAAGAGTTTTCAATAGTTGAGATTATTTTGAGATAATTGATACTTTGGATTATTTGAAGCAGATCACTAATAGTTGGGAATATTCTTGTCCATTATTCATTTAGATTTTCATTAGTATGAAAAAGATAGATACCCAGAGTCCCAGATCATGTTGAAGAAATATGTACCTTTAAAAACAATCTAATAAGAGCCTGTATGAACTCAAAGTTGCTCATGCATGAAATCTCATGTATAAAATAATCCAGCAGCAATTCAATGAAGTACAATTCTTGTCTTTCCATCACAACATCCTCCTCATCATCAATAAGTTGAAGCACTCGCATTTCCATGTCCAGCATTGAAGCAGACAAACTTTTAATATAATCAGTGAATGCTGTAACTGCAACAAGAATCAAGTATACATAAAAATAAACAAAATTAAATACGTGCTGGCCATTATTGCATTGGCATTATAATTCACCTATCATTTTTGGAAAATAATATGCACTCTCAAACAATAGTCTTATTGACTAAATAAATCTACTATCTAACTAACTCAACTAAGTGAGTCTCCCGTCTAACTTTTTAGGGTGCTCCTGCGTTTCATGACTATCTCTCAGCCTCCTCTACACGGCTCTCATTCCTCCCAAATCCTCCACCCTCCTACACACAAGTCACAACTCTTCGTATCGTTCGTTACCCATGGTCCCCCTCTAGGAAGGCTGCTTCCGATAATGGTCAGGTGTTTTAAAGGATTTTGATAATTTAGCTGATCTTGAATTAGGCACCCCTATGCCTCCCCCCCCCCCCCACCCCCCACCCAGTGACAGAAACTCTGGCTCACAAATTTGAAATTATAGGAACATCCAGGATCAAGATTGTATGTGAGAAGACTATAGTGAAGACATCAGGAACCGATTGCCAGATGTGATCAAGCCAACATCCAGTCCGACCAGTCAAGAGAGAGGTCATTTTGATGTTGTATATTTCGCTTCTGCTATGTGTGTTACAAGGGGTCATAAGGGGGAGTTACGGGTATTTGTCATCTTAAGATGATATTTCATTGTATTTATCCTTTGTGTTTATCTTTCTATTTTTGTATTATAGAGCTTTTTTAAAATAATATTGAAATAAACTTTAAGGATAAAATATGACTAACGTTAATTACTATCAGTATACCATTATGATCATAAAATCGAATAGTCGTGATCATCAAAACTATTATTATAATTATTAAAGTACAAATGGCATGTTTTATTCATTTCACTCACATATATTGATATATACTATCATTGTTTCTATTATAAATGGAATAACATAATACCACAATAGACTACTAAAAAGAGGGAAATTTAGACAGAATGTTGGTTTGAGAGCTTCTTTCTAGGTTTTGGGTACTCCCGAATTTCTGGACGTCAACATTGTGCCTGATTACTGGTCCACATAATATTATTTGATTTTCCATTATAAATTTTTAAATGACTTATGAAACTATGAAAGTTTGCTAAAATAATAAGAAAAAAAAATAATCAACAATGATGGTCATGGTTCTTGATCTCTCTCCATTTACTCAGGCTTATGAGAGGATAGCAATGAGGGGAAAGGAAAGGCACTACATATCTTTTCACACTATTGGCTTAATTTTACATGAGTGCAGAATAATCATACAAATAGAATTAAGCTTCTGGAATGTTGAAAACCATAACAAAAAACAACATTTTTTATGAATAAAAGCAAAATATTTAATAGTACAGCATACCTTGCATGTCTCTCTTAAAGCAACTTCATGTTTTTTCACTAACTTCTCTCATTAGACATTATAAAGATACCAAAGATAGCAGGTTATACTTAAGGTAGAACTATGTGCTCACCATATACCATGTTTATCCGATGTAAGTGATATATATGTATATATATATATATCATTAAAATTGTCAAATTAATTTTGTTTTTTGCCTATGGAGATGAATTGGAAAAATCTTTTTTGGTGTTGGAAATATAGCATTTCATTAAAATCTTATGTTGATATTTATATTATTTTTGTCCTAGATATGCTTCAATGAGGCTATTGAGATCGTGAATCTGTTAGAGACACCAGAAATCGCAGCAAAATCACAGAACAAATCAAAAGGAACTGCACAATCTTTATTGAAATCAACTGAACTACAATGGCCGAAGCCCCCAAAAGAGAGAGACAGTCTGTCTCAATCTTCCCAGCACCAAGACTAACGAGTCTAAAACCTCCTCTTTATTGTCCACTCCCTTTCTATTTATACTACTCTAGCTATTACTTTTCTTATTTACTCTTATTCTACCGGGTCCCTAACATCTTCCCAGCACCAAGACTAACGAGTCTAAAACCTCCTCTTTATTGCCCACTCCCTTTCTATTTATACTACTCTAGCTATTACTTTTCTTATTTACTCTTATTCTACCGGGTCCCTAACAATAAAGAGGAGGTTTTAGACTCGTTAGTCTTGGTGCTGGGAAGATTGAGACAGATTGTCTCTCTCTTTTGGGGGCTTCGGCCATTGTAGTTCAGTTGATTTCAATAAAGATTGTGCAGTTCCTTTTGATTTGTTCTGTGATTTTGCTGCGATTTCTGGTGTCTCTAACAGAAGATTGAGACACTGTCTCTCTCTTTTGGGGGCTTCGGCCATTGTAGTTCAGTTGATTTCAATAAAGATTGTGCAGTTCCTTTTGATTTGTTCTGTGATTTTGCTGCGATTTCTGGTGTCTCTAACAGAATCCCATGGACAATGAACAATGACTTACTCACCGTTGTGTCTACGCTATGTTTACGATTTTCTAACTTACATTTGAGAAGATTTAGAGTATGTTTACTAACAGAGATATTTTCCAGATTTTTAGAAAACTGGAAAACTGGAAAAAGGAAAACAGAAAACGTGTATACCAGAGAAAATTATTGAAAAACTGGAGAAAAGATAAAAGAAAACTATGTTTACCAAATCGTTTTCAAAAACGAAAAAATAAGATCTCTCTTTTCCTTAATGAATTGGAGAAGTGACTTTTATTAGTTTTCCAAATTTGGAAAACGCGTATGTTGCAGTGCTGCTGCAATGAATTTGCATACTTACACTTAATGGTGTAATCGGTCTCGCTCCAGTGTCATTGCTCCGGTCGACGACCCAACAGTCTCTGTCCGGTCCGGTCCACGACCTGACAATTCTTGTCCAGTCTGGTCCATGACCCAATTGTGATGTCCAATCCACGACCCGGCGGTCCTTGTCTGGTTCAACCGATGACCTGACGGTCCCTGTTTGGTCTGATCGATGATGCGACGATCCCTGTCCGACCCGATCCACGATCAAGTGGTACATGTTCAGTCCGTCGAAGGGCAGGTAGTCCCGGTTTGATCAAGTATGGTCAACGACTCGGCGGTCCCCGTCTGGTCCGATCATAAACTCGACGGTCCGAACATAAACTCGACGGTCCGAACATCAACTCGACGGTCCGATCATCAACTCGACGGTCCGATCCGGTCAATGACCCGACGATCCCTGTTCCATCTTATCGACGGCCGCGCAATCCTGGTTTGGTCCGATCCACGACCCGGCGATCCCCGACCTGTTCGATCAAACACCTGATGGCCCGTCCTATCCGATCAATGCCCTGGCGGTCCCCATCCTGTCCGACCAATGACTTGACAGTCGTGTTCGGTCCGATCGACAACTAGGCGGTCCCAGACCAGTCCCGTCATCGACGCGGCGATCCCTATCTGGCCCGGTCAATGACCTGACAGTTCAGTCTCGGTTATTTGAAATCACTTTTTAAAGTGAAGAGTTTTAAAAGAGTTGTTGAGTTGTCAACCAATAGGGAAATGAGAAAAGAATTCGTCAAACTAACCGTCAAGATCAACCGGGCCCGGGCGGTTTTGGTCCCGATTTTCCTATACGTGGGACTTGGTACCCTACTTGTGTTGCACTAGGTTTGATTTCGGAATGGGACCGTACTTTATGGCTTCTGGAACTGGGTGAAAAGATTTGAGGAACATGTTTTCAGATTTGAAAATGGAAAACTAAAAATGAAAACAGAAAATTGGAGATAGAAAAACAGAAAAATGAAAAAGAAAATTGGAGAACGGAAAATAGAAATAGAAAACTAGAAAATATCTCTGTTAGTAAACATGCCCTTATAGTTTGATTAATGACTTATATTTTTAATAGTCAAGAATTTGTATTTAAGTGATATACTATGTGTTTATCTCCTCATAATAGTACTACATTAAATGACAGTACAAGTGATGTTTTAGTTTGATTTTACAGTAATTATTTGGCAGTTTTTATTTCACTCACTTCTTTCTTTTAAAAGCAGAAAATCGATATGGATATGTTTGCCAACCTATGACAAAATTAATCATCACATAGACCACAATTGTAGCATAATGGAATTTGTTTTTAGAACATAGGGAGTAAACATGTAATATAACCATGAAACTTACAATTTTGACTCTCTGCGGATGACTGAAGAACGTGCAAGAACTGAGAGACCGGAAGATTAGTTTTTCTGTGGATCTCCTCCTGTTCACCATCTTGTGAAACCTTCTCCTTGGCAACTTCTTCATTAGGTTTAAATAAAATCTCACCAGAGAAAGACGGAATTGAGGGTAAGAAAAACGGAGCCTTCTCTGGTTTCTTTGGAGGCTCAATCGGTTTGTTTCGCTCCTTTATGATGTCTAAATTGATCAAACTTTGCCACTGACTCTTCGGCAATAGTGATAGTGTTACTAGATCTGGAATTTGCTGGTCAGAAGTCACAAAGTGAGAAGATTCGAGAAACTTCTCTTGAGTCTTTATTACAGTGTCCTTCCCATCATTATTTTGACAAGCTTCTTCTTCGACGGAGGAAATTGAGGGCATCTTAACATGCACAACTTCTTTTCCACTTCCATAAGATTCAAAACTAGAAGCTCCAGAGAACATGGCTTGGTTGACCCATAGATATACGCCATTTTGATCAGCATGAGTGGTGGCTAGGACATCCATGTTAGGAGATAGAGATAACGCAGTTATCGCTATATCAACTTGTATGGCATCAATCTGTCTAGCTAGGATAACATCCCAAATTCTAAGTGTCCCATCCATGCTAGATGTCAATAGCAATTTACCGTCCTCGCTGAAGCATACATCTGTAATGCGATCCGCATGGCCCACAAATTTTCGAACCATCCTCAATGCAATAGCATCATACAAACGGATCACCATGTCATCCGCCACAGTTGCCAAAAGACCGTTAGATCGATGGTAAATGATCTTAATAAGAGAGCAACCTATGTCTAGTCTAGACTTCAACCCCCTTCCTTTAAAGTCCCAGATTTTGACATCACCCTGATATCCCGCGCTTATCATGAGGGTATTTGTAGAATCACAAGCTATGCCGATCACCTCTCCATCATGGGCATATCCATTTCTTTCTTGTGAATTGTAGTCACTGTAACTGCCACGGCTGATTCCAGATTGAAGGTTAAACCGCTCGATCCAACCGCCCAATGTCCCTAAAACTGCAAAATTGCCACATGCACTTATTGTGCACGATTTGACCGGTGTTGGATTTTCTGGACATGGACGAAGGATATGCTCGCCAAGAACGAAATTTTGAAGCCTCCAGACATATGCTTGAGTGGTGTCCATGTGACACGTAACAACATTGCACCAATCGCGTTCCCTAATTTCAGCAACGTCAAATGCAATAACAGGCTTTAACTTTATCTCTTCTTCCTTCAATTTGAACTTTTTTGCTCTTTTAGCCACATGTCGTTGAGAAAGCTCTCTACTCTGCTGGTCCTGAATAACGGAGAAGAGGCGGAAGGCACGATCTTGACCGGCAGATAGAATGTGTCTCCCATTGGCATAGTACTTGATACATAAAGGGGGGGCACTGTGACCACTTCTGAATCGTAGTAAACGGGGGTCACCATCAGTTGTGTCAAAAATCCACATTTTTATTGAGTTGTCAGAAGATGAGCTCATAAGCACAGGCTCATTAGCAAAGAAATGAAGTGAGACTACAGTGGAATCGTGGGCCTCTCTAATGACATAATGCAACCTTCTCTTCTCAAGGTTCCATATGCTGATCACACCAGATGAGCTTCCAGATGCTAAAAGGGGCTGCCCATCAGTACTAAAAGATAATGCAGTAACAGAACCCCGGGAAGAATGGGTAAATGTAACTATTTCTTCATCATAACGAAGATTATGAATATGAATTTTCCCATCAGCACATCCTACAGCAACAACATCTAGTGCTGGAGATGAAATACAGCAATTTATAGAAGATCCCCACCTACTGAACTCGTACAGTTTTTTATTTGTGCTAATGTTCCAAAGTTGCAGAGTTCCTTCTTGAGTTCCAATAATGACCTGTTTTAATATTCAATGTTACTCAACCCGAAGGACAGATTGACACTAAAAGGGAAATTTGGTATTTGCACCCCATGTTTACGACAATATTTGACTATGCACATCAGGTGCTATTTCTTTGCTTTTGTACCCATGTAGGGCGCAATGAAAAATAATTTGGGTAAACATGGGCCGGAAATGCCAATGTTAAACTTTGCAGTTTGCAACCCATTTTTTACTTTAATATTGGACTCTGTGCTCCACTTTGGATGCTCTAGGATTTAAAGTCAAAGATTCAAAAAATGGAATGCAAAGCCATGTATTATGGTAAACAAGGAGCACAAATACCAAATTTCCCATTACAGAATATGTTATTAGATAATTAAATGTACTGCATTCCAATATTAAAAGCATACAACTACCTGGATTAACATAAACATGTGTGTCAGAGTGTATGTAACAGAAACAATACCTTGTTTAAATAAGTATCTGGATGCATTATGCAGCTAGGCGTGATTTTGCCTTCTAGCAATAAATGTCCAGCTGGAGCAAGGTTCTCATTTATTCCCTTAAAGTTCCATGTCAAGATATTGCCTTCAACATCGACACTTAAGATGTGGTCGCCAAAAAGCAGCAAATGGTTAACCTTGGCACTGTGCCTGCTCCAAGTAGCCACCTGTACATCAAATGTTAGTTACTTAGTTTCATTTTCACTTAAACCATATGGAGTATCTGAGAACAATCAAGCAACCGGGTGTGATTTTCCCTCTTGAATCACGATTAGAAGAAATATTCTAGAATATAGATAATGTATAGGAGCGAAGCAGAGAGAATCAAGGTTGTCAAGGCGGTAAGGAGAGGCACGGCACCAGCCAACCGCCATATTTCGGAGACAAGCCAACGCCATGACAATCTTGGAGAGAATACACAAAGCCAAATATCCAAATATAGGGTCATTGCATTTGAAATTTGAGGCAAAACAAAAAATATCTTAGGCCCAAACCTGATGAGCACGTTTGACCACTGCAATATCATTTCCATAGGCAGCGAATGTGTAGTCTCGGTAGGAGGCAAGAGCTCGTATCTTCTTTGGTAATTGGGGGCCTTCATGAAGAATTGGGACCAAAAGCATTCAGAAATAATGAAATGGAGACACTTGGCAATCAAATTTTAACCACTCAAAACTAAAATCACTCATTTGTGAGCCTGTTAGTTTTTTGCCATTTTTAAATCAATGAAATATAAATGCAGAACACTCTTACTCTCCAGTCCATGTTAAAAGATAAAAACCAATAAAAGTGGTTGGTATCATATAAGCCCAGTTTGAGAACTGACAATAAAAACAATCCATGTTGGAAGAAATACTAAGCCCGACAACTTATATGTTTAGGATAAAAGGTTGAAAGAACAGGAGGTTAAAAGAAGATGAGCAGCCAAGATTTCTCGCTAAACTAATCAAGTCAAATTTAATGATTATTTAAAAGAGAACTTGGTGATTACAGTTATGCTCCGTTTTTTTAATACGAAGTATGACATATCTAGGTCAGTCCTGGAGCACAGGACTTGTTTCTAAACACTAACCTACATCTTTTCATACAACATCACTCTGTGTGACACTCCAGAAGGTCTCATTAAATGTCCCAAAGCATTGATGGTTATAATTACTAGACTTCTTGAGTTTTTATAGATTTATGTCAATTAAGATCAATCTGATATCTATCCGTTTAAATTACTACAGACATCACACTTGCAAAAACAGTATAGGAAAATGATTTACAATGTATTTTATATTCTCCTCACCTAGAAACTCAATCAGCTTGTCAAAGATTAAAGTTTTCAAAAAATGATTGAATGAATAAATAAATAAACAGATGCAATGAAGAGCATACCCACTAGAACCAAACTGAGCTTAGCGCACTGCAAAAAAATTTAAGGAACATAAAACAATCGTTAGGTTTTCGCATTATGAGAGCTCAGTAAAAGTTATAAATCTAGACAAAACCGTACGTTGTAAATCTGGAAAGATTTGCCGATGCTAACGGTGACGAAGGTCTCGGTGCCTAGTCTTTGTACGGAGAAGGGAACATTGTTTGTTATATATCCAATGGCTCTAAATGGTTCAAAAATCCCCATTTCGGATGACCTCTGTTCTGCAAGCCTAAACAGAGAGGGATCAGGGGCGGAGGGGCGCAAAGTTTTGTATGTAAATACATATATGTGTATGTATGTGTGTGTGTGTGTGTGTGTGTGTGTGTATATATATATATGAGTATGTGTCTGTATACACACACACTAACTTCAATAGCAACATATAAGTATTGTACAAAAATAAATGCCACTAATGTTTTACATGAATAACAGTTTTCATCAAAATCAAATACCAAAAGAAATCACACATTGCAAGTATTCATTATGGATTTTTAGATATTACATCGCTTGTTAATGACATCATTGTCAATTTTCAAGAGGATGTATTTTTCTACATAAACAAGAAACATATCATTATTGAGTCAATCATCACTTATTCGATTGTTCAATCTATCATACAAGATATTTATATGTAAATCGGTATAATAAAATTAATACTGACAAAAAATAATGGAATTACATGATTAATATTAAACAATGGGATTAGTAATCACAAATCACATTAATACTAATGCTATTAATATTCACAAATCACATCAATACTGGTAGATTAATACTTTGTACTACCTCCGTCCCGTTGGAAGGTTCCCATAGCAAAATGGCACGGTTATTTAGGCAATAATTAAATAAACTACTTCGAGTATAATTTAAGAAATAATTTTAAAAGGTATATATTATAATGTAGTTAGTATTGATAACTGTGATGTAATAAATGTATTGTTTTTAATATTTAATGATTAATTTGTCACTTAAGATTGTTAATTGTTTCCTAAAATGGAAATGAGAACCTTCTAACGGGACGTCCAAAAAAGGAAAGTGGAAATCTTCTAATGGGACGGAGGGAGTATTAAACAATGGAATTAATATATCCAAAAAAACAACGCCTAAAATAATACTAAATCTAAAAGTGAAAGTATAAATGAAGGTCAGCACTCAGCACAAAAAACTACCGGAGTAAAACTCAACATCTAAACACCATCACTAAATCACGGTTATTCCTTTTCATTTTCAAGGTTCCCATAGCAAAATGACACGGTTATTTAGGCAATAATTAAATAAACTACTTCGAGTATAATTTGAGAAATAATTTTAATAGGTATATATTATAATGTAGTTAGTATTGATAACTGTGATGTTATAAATGTATTGTTTTTAATATTTAATGATTAATTTGTCACTTAAGATTGTTAATTGTTTCCTAAAATTGAAATGGGAACCTTCTAACGAGACGTCCAAAAAAGGAAAGTGAGAACCTTCTAATGGGACGGAGGGAGTATTAAACAATGGAATTAATATATCCAAAAAATCAACGCCTAAAATAATACTAAATCTAAAAGTGAAAGTATAAATGAAGGTCAGCACTCAGCACAAAAAACTACCGGAGTAAAACTCAACATCTAAACACCATCACTAAATCACGGTCAAAGCAAAAAACTAAAAAATAAAGGTGAAAGTGTAGAATCAAAACAAAACATTCAAAAGTTACAGTAGGGCTAGGACCGGATCAGATCGGAACCATTTTCAAAATGTAAATCATTAAATCAGTTCGGTTCCGATTAAAAAAACTAGAACCGTTATGGAACCGAACCAAGTGTAAACGGTTCGGTTCTTACATTTTTTCGGTTCCTAACAACATTGCTATATTTTTGTTTTTGCCACGCTAGAAGTATTCATCCGTCCATACAACCATTTTAAGCATTACAGTTCAAATCTAAATTAAAAATGCAGTGAGTTCAATTCATAATTAATACTTCTAATTAAAATCTAAATATGAATGTAAATGAGCAAATAAATCTATCATTGGCTAGTCTATCATTGAGCCAGTCATCACTCATCCGGTTGAAAATAACGGGATGACTAATTACTACACCAATATTAATAAACTTAATAATTAGATTAATAAGAACAAGTCACGAGCAAATTCATACTACAAATGATGATTACAATTTACAAGTTTACAAATGATAATCAAATTCATATCAAGCAAAGCTGTAATTTAGTCTTTAACTTGAATTAAAAACACAATAAAATTAAAAGATTAAAAAAATACCTCTTAAGCACTTAGGACTTAGGCAGCAGTTCTCAGGAGTCAGGACTCAGGCCTCTGCAGCTCTGCTTACCAGTTACCACCGAAGAGCAGCTCTCAGCGTCTCAAAGTCTCACTTTACCAAGCAGTCAATTACCACCGTCCACCAAAGAGAAATTAGAGCAGCAGCAGCCGGTGCGCCGTCCGAGTGCTGAGCGCCTGAGCCACCGTGCGCCGTCCTGGCCGTCCTGGCCGTCCGGCAGCGACTGAAGATGGACGAGGGCCGCTGCGTGCCTGCGTGCTAGATTTCGAGGTCGGGAATTGGTTTTTGGCCTTTGGTAGGGGTTTTGCCGAACTCGCCGAAGCAGAAAGAAAGCCGGACCGCTCGATTCTTCCCTGCGCCTGGTTGGGCTTGATAATTTGGAGTGGGCCTGATATTTTAAAAATCGAGACCGGACCTGATTTTTAAACCTATATACTACTTCTGGGCTCTAGGCCCAATCCGCCCTTGTGAATACCTCAAGTAATGATGTCTTTAGCGTATCCATAAAGCACAAATTTGTACTCCCACCTTCCTTCATAATTTTGACAACTTTCCTTTTTAGATGTCCAATTAACTTTGTCACTTTCCCTTTTAAGTAAAGAATTTATGTTTTCACTTAATTTTCTCTTCTCTGCACAAACCTAAACCACACAGTTTTTACTTTATTAATCCTCGTGTCAGTCAAACTTGACAAAATTATTAGGGATGAGGGAGTATTAAACATGTTATAGGTGTTTCCAATACTCATGACAGAATGGAAGAAAGAAAAGCTCCACTTTATGGATTTGGAAATTTTTAAGAAAATCAATGCACCCAACTTTCATGTTTTTATCTAGGGAAGTACTCACAACACAGAGAGATAGTCATTTTGTTGCAACACTACCTCCCTTTTAGATATAACAATGAAGAAGGCAACTGAGCAAAATTATCACAATTCAAGAAATTGAGTAAAGTTTTGGGTTGTTGAACCCTTAAATGGCACTTATCTACTTGTAGGTGATGAACTAAAGCAACATTAAAAATTGTGAATGCATATCAGCAGCAAACAAAAATGAAAAAGAATTGTTCCACGATAACTTAATATAGCTCCATTGAATATTGTTGTTATAGATATGCTTTTGGATCAGAATAGCTCCAACATACAAAGATTGATAGCCTCATTACTTTATGAAAGCTGTTTGATTCATCGTTTTCATTTACCCCAGTGCCGCAAAGGCTCTCCCACATACGGTGGGGTGGGGTAAGGGGGCGGATGTACGCAGTCTTACCCCTGTACTAAAGCACAGAGAGACTGTTTCCGGATGACCCATAGTAAAAATCCCGTCCAAAATTGCATTGACTGACTGTTGTTTCATAACAAAGAAGCGCAAACAATTTAGTGAGCCATTTTGCTTTATTCCATCATAACCTCGAGCTAAAAAATAATGAATCTTTGGCTCCATTGCAAATGATGGAAAAATGAAAGTTGTTTGATTATATTATGATTTACTTCGAGGGCAAACTTCTAGCTTTTGGAAGCAAGTTGATTCAATTCCGTAAATACATATAAGTTATATTGGAGGAAGAAGAAGAACACTAACAAACACACATACAACTTGTTGTTATTCATTTTATTGAAATTGAATCGATCATCACATCATTCACACCCCACTCAAAAATTAAAATCAGTTCATAAATATTCCATAGTAAACCAAATTAAATCCCCAAAACCAAGCTTCTGAATAAGATAAAGCAATCTAGACCATAATTGAAAAGCTTAACCCAAACATCCATATGCATGAGCCAAAAGTTAAACGATATGAATTAGCATAAATAAAAAAGAAAACATTATACACGTACCTATGAAGGCTATGAGTTTGTTGCTAATGAAAACAAGAACTTATCAGGATGGAGAATCTGAGAAGAGAATAGAAGACCAAAATAGGTGAGTGTGACGGAGGACTAAGTTGTGGGTGGCGACCAGTGGCGGAAAAGAATGTTATTGGAGGCACTATCTAAGTCAATATGACAATTTTTTTTGGGACGGGGGTAACCTCGTCTTTTGAAGTAAAAGTTTAGTTTAAGAAAACACCTAATCACTTCCAATGCACATATTCATTCATGTCAAATGAGAATTCTTAATTCAAATTTTAAGTTGTACTTATTTTCTGAGAACAATTTTGAAGTGTGTTCTTACTCTTGTTATGTTACTACAAGGAAAATTTTGTTTAAATGATATATTATCCATTTTTCAGTAGTATACATGAATGAACTATTTATTTGACAATAGATTTATGATTTTCTCATAAGAAGTTCTAATGTGAGTATCTATAATTGGTTCGATTTCGATAAATTCATAGATTGTTGGTTCAAGTGTTGCTTCAGGTCTTAAGCATAGTTCTCATGGCGCATGCCAATCGTCATGGCTCAAAGGCATTTTTCATGGCGCATGGCGGCGCATAAACGAATGGCGCATATGACACTATGGCGACAATCACTTTTTTATGTCGATGGCACATATGGTGCACGCCATATCTCGCCATTTACTATTATGGTCTTAATAATAGATAATCATCATTCACAAACCTTACAGATTATGATGATTAGTTTAGTTTCAGGAGACAAAGATATGTATGGTAATACAAAGAAGAATATTTTATATGTGACAATGAACGTGTTCTTTTTCTTACAAAGGGTTCAAACTTAAAAGGAAAGTGATACATGCAAATGCACAAGAAGCTTCTAAAACATGAGATGAACATACTTTTGCTCATTCAATTTCATAGATGGATGATGTTTTATTATGATAACTATTTTTTGTCATCCTATTTTATTTGAGTATTTATCTCATTAATAGTCGGGTCGATCAATAATAGTTATTATGGAGCTTAAAATGAAAAGTTTCTTCTATTCATCAATATTCTCAACTATTTAAAATAGGATAACGAAAAATAGTTATCATAGTAATCCTACAATAGGGGAGATTCAAGATTTGGTACATGAGTTTTTAATGAATATATTTAAAAGAAAGTATTGAGGAGCAATCTATATGGAACTTGTGATGCATCTATTTGTATCAATGGACCTCAACGTGTGACTGTCTAAGATATAATATTACCCCCCCCCCCCCCCCCCTCATGTATAAATCGTTGATATCCGACAATATATAGCCTGGTTGACGGATCCCATTGATTTGTTTATTAGAATCATATTGATAAAATATTGATATGATGATTGATTATTGATGAAATATTGATATATTTGATAAGGAATTAAATTGGAAATGATTTGGAATCATATTGATAAAAATGGAGTTAAATGAGCTATTAATGAACTATTATGTAAAATAGGCATCTTTACTCATGTGTGAATTGTGTAGATAGATAAATGAATATTTATGTATTGCATTGGATGCTTAGGTTGATGCTACATATCTCTAAATATGTAAGGACTTACAAGTGAAATATTTGATTGATATGAATAATCTTAATAGTATTGAAATACTAGTTAATGATTATTTGTAACTGTTAAGGAATTGAATCTAAGGATTTGATTGTAAGTGATGCACTTGAATGTGATTCAAGTGACTATATTGATTTAGTATGAAGCTAAGATCATGTTATGGACAGTCCTTAAGGATGTCCCAAAATAGATTATTGGTATCTCAATTCTAGGCATAGGTTTGCTTAGGAATTGAGTCTATGCCATGGCACGGTGATGTACTTGAGTTGTACTCTAGAAGTGCATGGGTAGACAAGGGGTTGTGATTGATGACATGCATGGTGATGTACTTGAGTTGAACTCTAGAAATGCATGGTGAGATTGAAGGTTGTAACCTATGATGTGCATGGTGATGAAGTTGAGTAGAACTCTAGAAATGCACGGTGAAGTAATTAACTTGTATCATATGATTTGCATGGTGATGTACTTGAGTTGGACCCTATGAATTATCGTGACTGGTAGTCACGGGGTATGGAGTTGATGTTTTATAACAAACATTGGGCCTACGGGTCGACTACTTGACTTTGTATAAAGTAAGTATATTTTTAAAAGGAGTAACGTGGGGTTACGGCCTAGATTATATTATCACCCTATTTGAGGGTCTTGTGTTTGAAATACTTGTTGTATTTCTATTAGATGTCATTCACACCAATACTTTATAGCCCTATAGAGTACTGACCCCTTCGGGGGTGTCCCACCACCATTTCAGGTTGAGGCTAGAGCTTGCTTCATGTGCTTGTTGCTCGAGTGATCATCTAGGAGGGAAGACTTGGTTCGTGCTTCCTCCACTCTGTTTTTGAACATTAATAAACATGATCATGGATATTTTACTATAGAGCATGCATGCTCATGTTTGCCACGTGTGGCATTTGTTTATTATGTTTGTTTATGGATGACTTACATGTGAATGATATTCGAGACGTCTTGTATAATATGGATGTGTTTGACTGTGGTTGACTATTCGTATTGTACGGCGGGTTGTTGATGTGTCCGGGCAGGGCCGGGGCATGACATATCGACTCCTAGCGATTCACCAACTCTTCTAAGTTAAATACCTCAACTTTATATCAATACTAGTTTTCTACACGCGCGTTGCGCGAGCGAATAAAATGCCCAATGTATTTTTTATTGAAAAATATGTATATTGTATGTTGATTTGATATGATTATTTCTAATGTTTGATATGTTAACATTTGCATCAACATAAAAATAGAGTATTTAGTGTTTCTTCATATGAAGAAGACCCAAAAATAAAATAGAAAATAGAAACGCACAATGGGCTAGGTCATGTTTTCCTGTTTTCCTACTTTAGTACGTGTCATTATCGTTTTCCTCTTTCTTTTTATTAGTAATGAAAACAAATTGAAATCGTTTAATATGATTTTAAATTTTTCTTGATGGTTTTTAATTTAACACTATTATTTTAAGCATGACTATTTTTACGTCATTCTAATATAACCCTTAAAATCACAACAAAAAAAACACCAAGAAGCCAGTAGCTCAATTGAGCAAGCTTGAAGTTTTGGATGATAATTAAAGTCAGTGTGTATGGATGAGGAGAGATAGTTCAGAAGACCAAAAAGACATACGTAGTACTTTATAATTTTCACATAAATAAAAGACACCACCAATAATACAGAGTAGCAGTTATAATGTGTTTCTCGCACCAATACATTTGAGACTAAAAAAATCATCATCTTATATAATCTATGACCCAAATTTATAAATTTAGTCACAACCAATGTTCCAAGCGCTCATGCTAAACTTGCTTCTCGAGATTTCATCACCATAATGCTTACGTGTGGGGTAACTCAAACTTTCTTTCATGAATTAGAGCGTGTTATCCATCAAAGATTTAAAGCTGAAAATTAATATAATTGTCCCGGTTATAATTTTAACT